CGCGATTTGCGACCGTTGGGTTTCTGCCCGCCTGCGGGGACCGGCCCCACCTGTCACCGGGCCTAAGGAGTGGCGTCACGCCCGAGCGCCTCCCTCGAGGGGGGCGGTCGCCCTGGCGTAACGCCGGGGGCTACTGTCGGTGACATAGGGGCGGGGGTATCGTGACTAGAGGCTTGGGTAGCCGCGATCACCCACGTGGCCCGACCCCCTCGGGGGGGTCGGGCCCGAGGGTGACGTGGCCACCCCTCCCTCTGTCTCCCCGAGGGGTCGGGCCGCTCCCGTTTCGGCCCCGAGGGCTGGGGCGCCCCGACCCCCTGTGGTGTTGGCGCCACGTGTGTGGGTTAGGTGAGCACAGCGGCGCTCACCTAACCGCATTTATAGCGGGTTAGACGAGCGCGCCGCGCCGTATTCAATACGGCGCAGCGCATGCTTATCCGGTCCGTGACCAGTCGCGGTATGTGACCGGTCACAGACCGGTCAGATTGCGGGTTAGGTGGCAACAGGCGGCCTGTCACACGCCTCGCCCCGTCCCGTCGGAATGATGAGAGCTTCCTGGCTCTCGTCCCTAGCCGGAGCCGGCGTGCTGACTCCTGGAGTTGGTATGTCAGTCCCGGTCAGATCCATGCCAGGCTTCAGCGCAAGCATGGCAAGAAAGTCGCTGGCCATTGAATGAAGGTTGAAAGGGGCGTCCACCGGGAGAGCTGACGAGCGGAGCAGAAGGCGTGTGCTGTGCTTGTCAGAGGTCACTTCCGGCTGTAGATTAGCCCTCATTGTAAAAGGAATGTTTCTTTTTTTAGGCAGCTTGAGGCCCATGTGGTGACCCCTAACTAGATAAAAAGGAGGCCCAGGCCTAGGAGAGGAGGGAGGCTGGCGAATAGAGGCGAAAGCCTGAACTCTCTCTCGCTCTCCAGCTCTCTGTATTCCTTCACACTCAGATCCACCAGAACACAGGAGTAGGGTATTACGCTTCTCAGCGGCCCGAACCTGTCTATGTCGCCCGTGTCTTGTGCGATTCTTCTCGCTGACGTTCCTTAGATCGAGGGCGAAGAACCTCACATAGCGCCCCCGGCCGAACCGGCAAAGAGGGGCCTGCGCGGTCTCCCGGTGAGGAGCCCAAGCTCCGTCAAAGTAACTGAAATTCAAAAATTAAAAAATAAAGAATATTGAAAGATGAGTTTAGAGTCCACATAGAAATACAATTAGAAATAATAAAAATTAAGAAATAAAAATAAATAATATTGGAAGAAAAGCATAGAGTCTATATAGAAATACAATTTATAGAAAATTTGGAATTAAAAAAAGAAATATTAAAAGACAAGTCTAGAGTCCATATAGGAATATATATAATTTACAAATAACTAAAATTTGATTTTAAAAATAATTAATAACTAACACGTATATAAAATATAATATGAAATATAAGAAATAAAAATAAATAATATTGAAAGAAGAGCATGGAGTCTACATAGAAATACAATTTACAGAAAATTTGGTATTAAAAAAAAGAAGTATTAAAAGACAAGTTGTCGACGTTTGATGTCGCGATTCCAGTATTTGCATGGTATGGGAATCGTTGGTACTAGGATATACATAAGACTGAGGTAAAAGAGACGGGGACGAGGATTTTTATACAGGTTCGGGCCCCTGAATTGTCAGGTAATAACCCTACATCCTGTTGGCCGAAGCCGGTATTGCTCTTATTCATCATAATCACACCAGTACAATATTTGGGGTAGCCTATCTAACTGTTGTCGACATAGCGGTCTGTAATTCTGACTCATAGTCGACAACAGGGTAGTCTTCCTCCTCGAGTTCGTGCCCGGCGAGATCAAAGATAGCGCTTTCGTCTCTCCTGACAGTATCCGGAGACAACGTAAGGGACTAGCCGTGCTTATCCCTGAAGTCGATACCCGACGTCTTGTCTTGGCGTATGTTGGCTTGTATGTTGATCTTCTGTCTTGATCTATGTTCCATGTATGTTGATTGTGGGTCTCTTCCATGGCGGGTGTGTATTGTGTCCCCTCTCCTCCTAGGGAGCCTTGTATTTATACCCATAGGTGTTCCCTTGTCCAAGTAGAACTAAGGAAACCAATATGGATACAATCCGAGTAGTCCTTGTCGTTTCAATGTAGAACTCTGGTTGTCTTTCCTTATCCGGAACTCCTCCTATATCCGCAGGTTGTTTCCATATAGGACATGGTATGCGGTGGGTCCTGCCGAGATTTAGTCAACTACTATTAGGAATGTGGTATCCATAACCCTGACACAAGTCTAGAGTCCATATAGGAATATATATAATTTACAAATAACTAAAATTTAATATTAAAAATAATTAATAACTAACACGTATATAAAATATAATATGAAAATTAAGAAATAAAAATAAATAATATTGGAAGAAGAGCATAGAGTCTATATAGAAATACAATTTACAGAAAATTCGGAACTAAAAAAAGAAATATTAAAAGACGATTCTAGAATCCATATAGGAATATATATAATTTACGAATAACTAAAATTTAATATTAAAAATAATTAATAACTAACACGTATATAAAATATAATATGAACATTACACATTAGTAGTTTTGTAGAGTTATTGCAAAATTTAAAATTATATTGTCATTTTAATATATTTGAATAATATAATGAGAAAACATATATGCTATTATATGAGAGAAAATATAATGATGCTAGCCGCGCAATCTGCGCGGGCCACAATGCTAGTTTTTATAATAGTAGAGATCAGACAATTATTTTTGGGGAATCAGACAGATTCGTTTTTTCCCCCGAATTTTCTTTTACCGCGTCAGATTTGGTTTTTCTTTTCCTTTTTTCGCACGTTTTCTTTCGCCCGGTTTTTTTTGGATCGGACAATTTTGTTTTTTTTTTCGCCCGGTCTTTTTTTGCCCCTTTTTTCCGGCTCGGACAGATTTGCAGATTTGGTTTTTCTTTTCTTTTTTTTGCACGTTTTCTTTCGCCCGGTTTTTTTGGATCAAGACAATTTTGGTTTTCTTTCGCCTCTTTTTTTCTAGACGTTTTCTTTCGCCGGTTTTTTTAGATCAGACAATTTTGGTTTTTTTTGCCAGTTTTTTTCGCCTCTTTTTTCTGGATAGGGCAGATTTGGTTTTTCTTTTCTTTTTTTTTTCCGCACGTTTTTTTCGCCCGGTTTTTTTTTTGGATCGGACAAATTTTGTTTTTTTGTCTGGCTTTTTTGACGGACGATGAAAGCATCTCTTATTTCTTATTTTTTAAGTAGTAGAGAAGAGATTGAGGTAGTATATACTAGCAACAGGGAGGCCATGGCAGGTGCTTCGGCTAATAATAAGGGAAGGTGCAGCTAGGCAGCGGCGCATGCAGATGAGTGGTCGGTCATCCATGGACATTATCGCCGTATAGGCCTTTCTCGGTAACATGTCAATCAAGCCTACTAGCCTAGGCTGCTGTGTCCTGTACGTATCCAACGCGACCCAACCAATACATTCATTTATTTGTACGCTGTATCTACGACAATACGCGTCGAAAATACTGTTTATGTGATCAAAAAACATTAATATATATTCCCAGGGATCAACTACAGCACAACATCCGTTGTAGTCTAGCTGGTTAGGATACTCGGCTCTCACCCGAGAGACCCGGGTTCGAGTCCCGGCAACGGAATTTTTTTTCTTTTTACACGCAGCTCGTGCAAATTCTGAATGTGCACTGAATACATAGAATCCATAACTCTGAATATGCACTGGATAAAGGAGTTTATGAAATTTTCAGCGCATCCTGTTCTTCAAACTTTGCCCAAACCAAGATCCCAAAGCTCGAGCCAGCACTTGGATGCATAGATTTTGCTGTTCAACCATCTCAATCCATAAAAGAGGGCCAAATACGAACTTGCAAATCCAAAACATCATGTGGAACTTGCAAATCCAAAACATCATGTGGAATTCACTTGGATGCACATCATGTGGAATTCACTTGGATGCACAGTTTGCTGTTCAACCATCACCTACGTTACCCAGATACAGGAATACGGATACGCGATACGTCGATAAGGAGATACGACATTTTCCAAAAACCAAGGATACGGGGATACGTCTATATATATATTGAAAACACACAAAAAATTAAGGAAATTACATTAATATATATTAAAAATACAAAAAAAAAATAAGGAGCTTTTATAAAGAAATAGCGATATAATACTAATAGTAGCCGATTCCATATCAATATTTTGCAATTTTCTTTTCTATAAGCAATTCAAATTAACAAACGATTAAGATCCCAAAAACCACGTATTAATAGTTCAATCATATAACTCTTGATGACTTTGCATCAACATTAGCAGCCGCACTAACCAGTAACCACTAGAATTGCTGGATGCACTAGCACTTGTATCTAACAAAAACGGTACTTTGTCCTAAGAAAAACATGAAAGGCACAACAGATTCAAGCAAGAAACGTTCAAAGAGCATGGATTTACCCGGCCAGGCAGTCAAGCAAACAAAGAAAAAGCTCCCTGCTTTGATGCTGCCAGCGGCCAGCCTGCCACCGGCCTCCGCTATGCCCGGCAACGGTCGTGGCCTCCGAGGTTGGCGGCGAAGGAGGTGCGCCGCCGCCCAGCCGCGGCAGCTCTTCCGTCTCGCGGAGAGGACGTTGTGGCCCGCGCACGGCAACCAAGCGCGCGGCTGCAGCCGGCGTCTCCGGTGGCATTGCCGGGCACGCACGAGAGACAGCCATCAGGATGGGAGCGTATGGGGCGGCGCATCCCTGATGCGAGCGTAGACGGAGGCACGTCGCGGCCGTATCGCTGGCGTATCTCAATTTATTTTGTTTTTTTGAAATCACAAATATATGGGATACATACCGAATACGTATCGGAACGTATCCGTATCCGTCCGTACCGGAACGTATCCGTTGCCGTATCAGATACAGATACGTCGCTTTGTAGCCGTATCAGGGTAACGTTGACCATCACAACCCATAAAAGAGGGCCCAAAAATACGAACTTGCAAATCCAAACATCATGTGGAATTCATTTCAGTATGCAAGGTAGCTTCTCATTTGGGAAAGATTACACAAGCTAAAAAAGGATTCTGGATCTATTATGCTGAAGGTAACAGATGATGAATTCATAGTTTCAAAACAGCTCGACAAGTATCGAACAATGAAGCGCCAATTGACGGTCTCCAATGGACATATGATCTTAAGAGCTAAATAATCTATATAAATAGACTGCTCAAATCAACAGTTTCATTCATGGAGATTTTCAGAAATCAAGCCTCAGCGGCAGCCTCGGCATTGCGCTTCCTCGCCTCCTCAATGATGCTGAGCTTGATGCCCTTGCCCTTGGGGAGAGATACCCACGGCTTCCTCTCCTTGCCGATGGTGAAGACGTTGCCCATGCGAGTCGCGAACTGGTGGCCGAGGGCATCCTCGACATGGATGGTCTCAAAGCTGCCCTTGTGCTTCTCCCTGCTCTTGATCACCCCGACGCGCCCCGTGTTCCTCCCACCGGTCACCATCACGATGTTTCCAACATCAAACTTGATGAAGTCCACGATCTTGTTGGTCTCCAAGTCAATCTTGATGGTGTCGTTGGCCTTGATGAGTGGGTCTGGGTAGCGGATCGTGCGCCCGTCGTTGGTGTTCAGGAAAGGAATACCCTTCTGTCCAAACTGTACAGACCGGACCTTGCAGAGCTTGAACTGCATTATTAACAGAAGTATTTCAGTAAATATTTTAAAGCAAAAGTGTAGGACTCAATAGAATTTTGTCAAGCAAAAAAAGCACAAACCAAGCAAACCACATTGGCACAAGAAAGAGAACCTCAAAGTAAATCTATAAAGATAAGAATCCTATAAAAGGAACACATATTAGTAGGATATTAATAGGATCTGTCTTCAATTCCTACATCACACAAACATAAAGAACTAAACAGAACAACATGATATGAAGCTACATCTGGTGGAACGGGCCCACTGGCGTACACATTTGTGGGTCAACAGTACCGATGGAGGATGAAACCAGCCATAGGAGGCAAACATGACTAGTAGAATTTAAAGATCAAGAAGTTTGCTTGATATTAGGCAAGGCGTAGGATTTCACTTGATAAGGATATTTTTAGTTGTTTGTTTTTGTATTGCACAGAAGAATACAAAGCAAAAGTTCCTACTATTATGAACCATATAGTGATGGATAATTTAATATAAACCTTAGCGTCCTCATCCTTGATGCTGTGGAGACGGAAGCGACCCTTGGTGTCATACAGAAGGCGGAAATTCTCCCCAGTCTTTGCAATTGACACAACGTCTGCATGATACAAGAAACTAATAAGGGATTCCATGGAATTAATTAGACATTGACTTCTCGTACAATGATGCAGCAAATCAGGGCACGCACCCATGAATCCAGCCGGATAAGTCTTGTCAGTCCTGACCTTTCCATCAACCATAACATGCCGCTGCATCAAGATGGAAATAACCTCACGGTAGGTCAGAGCATACTTCAACCTGTTCCTGAGGATAAGGATCAAAGGCAAGCACTCCCGAGCTTTGTGGGGACCAGAAGAAGGCTTGGGTGCCTGCCCAGGAAATAAACATCAGAAAAAATTCGAGCAAACACTTAGGATGTGTTTGGATAATGGGAAATGGGGGGTGGGATTGGGATTGGGAAATGAATGAAGGGTTAGGATTAAATGGAAGAGGGAGAATGAATGGTTAGGATTTAAAGATGGGTGGGAAATCATTTCCCTTTCCCATTTGCCAAACACTACATTAGCATTATACAGAATGCATTTGAACTGCGTGATATAACTTGCGGCTATACAATGTACTTACAAATGCTCCACCAAGCTTGTCAAGCATCCAATGGCTGGGGGCATTGAGCCTCTTCAGATGCTTCTTCAAACCCCTCGCCTATTAAGCAGAAAAGGAGATTCTTTTAACAAGATAAATACATATTGATAGCGTTTAACCAATCCAAATGAGAGAAATGAAAAGGGGGCAATACAGTAAAAACAAGATTCACCAAATAAGCACTTACAATCTATGCCATCATTCCTTGGGATTCTATGCGTTCATCAAACATTTAATGTTGAGATGGAATGGCTCATAACTATCAAAGGATGTTTTATGATTGGGAATCACAGTTTTACAGAAAGTAACTCCTAATTACCAAAAGGATGTCTAATAGAACGGGTGTTGAGCCATTTACTAACAACTTGACCAGGTTGTCACCCACAGAGCACTTACCCAAAATGATCTCTGATCCAAAATAACATATTTGACAAAGAACTCGCTCTACAAAGAATTACAGGTAGATCAAAAAGACATGAACCTAAAGAAGAGACCGATCTAGTAAGAACTAACCAACCGAACAAATCAACTCACCGCGTGATCTAACACAGGCAACAAGATTCCACCGGTACAATGCACGTAATTCTACGCCAACTAGACGATCACATATCCTGGTTTAAATCAAGAACTGGACTGACCATACAAGGCACCGAACGAACTGGAAAAAAAAACAAAAAGAAAATAACTGAACGACGCGAAGAAGAGAGAGTAAAGGGCGTTCGGATCTCACCATCTTGACCGGAGTTTAGCGTTCTCCTCGCGCGCGGGCGAGGACAACGACGGCGGCGGCGGCGGCGACGGGAGGCGTGGAATAAACCCTAGAGAATGGCGATGGTGGCTGGATCGGGGGGAGGGTGTTTTATCTCCCGGAGGGGAGCTTACAGCCGTGGGATGCGGCGTTAACGGTGCAGATTTGGATGTGGCGGAGTACTTGGGCTCATCTGGGCTGGCTCGCGGCCCAGCACAAGTGTAGGCTCTCACGGACCGGGCCCGCTTCGTGGTCGCGTAAAAAGAGGCCGTGGCCCGACTGGCTGGTTTGGTTCCTGATGGGCTGGGCCTAATCGGGAGAAATATATCGCGAGTAGAATTCGCACGCATAGGAATAAGTCCACTTTGACTCCCTTAAAAGTGACCCGAATCTAATCCATAACCCTAAACCGCAAAACCGGATATCTCGACCCCCAAACTATTGAAACCGGTGCAATTTGACTCCCTTGGTGGTTTTGGAGAGCGGTTTTGGTGACGTGGCGCTGATGTGGCAGTGTTGAACTAGTCTATGGGGTTGACGTGGCGTTTAGGTGGCATTTGAATTAAAAACATATACATGGGACCCGTTTGTCATTCACACACATAAAAAATTATGGGGCCCACTGACATGTGGCCCCACATGTCATCCCCTCTCTCTCTCTTTCTTCTTCCTCCCCTCTTATTCCCTTCTCTCTTTCTTTCTCTTTTTCTCCCCTTCGGCCGGCCGCGGGGAGCACGGCTGGAGCGGCAGCGGGCAGGGAGAAAATTGTGATTTTACTATCGCAAAAGGATGGTTTCGCTGGAATACTATCCCTTCAAAGTGATTCTTTAAAATGCTATCCTAAACTAAGGGGTGTTCACTAAAATGCTATTTTGGGTCTTTTTGGTTGCTAGAAATGATTTTGCTCTATTTTCATTTTTGTTCTGACCAAAATACCTGGTCTCAGATAGGTTTACCAGATGGAATCGGCGCTAACTGAGGAGTGCGGAGCGACATCGGCACCGGCGACACCGTCGCGCCTCCACATTGGGTCCGGCTCCGGCGCCAGCGCCGGCCCCCGCCACTCTCCTACCTACTCCTCCCCTCCCTCCTGCCCCAGTCCACTCGCGCCGCCGCCTCCATTCGCGTCCGCTGCCACTGCCGCCCCTCACTCCGCGCCTAAGCATCGGGTCCGGGTCCGGCACCGGCGGCCCCCGCTGCTCCCTCTCCTGCTCCTCCTCCAATCCAGTCGCGCCGCCGCCACCATTCGCGTCCACCGTCCCTCGGTTAGCGCCGCCCCGCCCGTCGACCAGTGGCTCTGCCGCCTCCGTCGCATCCGGGTCCACTTTCGCCTCCTGCTCCTCGGCGGCGACGATGCGGCGGCGGCGCGAAGAAGGCCACCCACAGCGGGGGAGGCGCCGCGCAAACACGCGGCTCACCGGCGGCGGCGGCGGCTGTGGCTGGGGGGCGGCGGTCCATGGCATGAACTCCGGCTGAGGCGGCTGGCCGAGCCGCTCCTCTGCAGGCCCCGCTCTACCACGCCCTCGCCACGCCGCCGCTGGCCGCCGGCCACCCCGCTCCCGACGTCATCCTCGAGAGAGAGAAAGAGGGGAACAAGAACAAAAGACGTTAGAGAGTATGACAGGTGGGCCCCGCATTAAGGGTATTTTGGTCCGGGAAAAAGTTAAAATTAAGAAAAACATTTCTATTCACCCAAAAGAGCAAAAATAGTATTTTGGTGAACACCTCTCAGTTTAGGATAGCATTTTAGTGAATCAGTTTGAAGCGATAGCATTTCAGCAAAACCACACTTTTGCGATAGTATAATCCCAATTTTCTCACGGGCGAGGGCTAGAGTGGTGGCGGCCAGCGGAAGCTGAAGCGGTGGTGGCGGCGGGCTAGAGCTAACGGCGGGTTCCAGAGCGGCAACAGGCAGCTCGATGGCCGGCAAGGAGGCGGGAGAGGACGGCAACGCTGACGCCGACGTCGACGAGATCGAGCGGGGGGACAGCGGTCAACGGCACGGCACCTAAACGCCCTAACCCCAGTCCTCACCTCCACCGGCACGGCGCCCTCACCGGGGAACGAGCTCCCTGCTCCCTCCGCCGCCTCCCGCCGTCTGTGATAACAAGATCCGGCGCTCTGGCCTCTCCGCCGATTGCAACAACAAGATCCGGGCATCTGGCGTATGCGACATCGAGCCTCTCAAGTGTCAAGCTAGTTAGGGTGAGGGCCGCCATCGAGCTATGCCATTCAACATTGCAACGACGACGTCGTCAAGTCATTGCTCGAGCTCGCTGCGTGGCCGTCAATTCCCGCGCCAGCCCCATCATCACCACCAACTCATCCCCCATTGCGTCTCCTTCAACCGGTGCTGCTAAGGCCACAAGCATCACAAAATCCAGAAATAAAATTGATTCATTTAGCAACTAACCAGAGATTATTAGCAGGTCGTTCACCATCCACTGAAGAATAGGATGAGTAGGCATACGGGAGCAATTAATTTTGTCTGGCTTGAACACACCCAAGATGGCCACCCTCCCGGAGATACTCGTGCTTGCGTCGAGCGGCACTGACCCGGACATCACGTCAGCGATGATGAGCTGGCTCAGGTCGCTGGTGAAGCAGTCGGCCTGCAGGGCGAGCGCCATCCGTCGCCACTCCCACCGCCACCACCACTTCAGCTTTCCCCGCTCTGGCGCCCACCCGCCGCCGCTCTAGCTCATGCTCCCTCGGCGGCCCGGCCGGCCAAAGGGGAAAGAAAGAGAAAGAAAGAGAGAGAGGGGAGGAAGCGGGGAGGAAGAAGAACATGTCCCACATGTCAGTGGGCCCCATATTTTTTATGTGTGAATGACAAACGGGTCCCACATATTTGTTTTTAATTCAAATGACACTTAAGCGCCACGTCAACTCCACAGACTAGGTCAACACCACCACGTCACCAAAACCACCCTCCAAAACCATCAAGGGAGTCAAATTGCACCGGTTTTGATAGTTCGGGGGTTGAGATATCCGGTTTTACGGTTTAGGGTCATGGATTAGATTCAGGTCACTTTTAAGGGAGTCATAGTGGACTTATTCCGCATGCATATGCACTACCGATCGAGTATTTGATCATCTCCTACGCCCTGATTTCTTTTTTTGTTTTACTAGCAAAAATACCCGTGCGCTGCAACAGGTGAATAAATTCTAATGATAATATACGTTTTTCATGCATAATTATGTCAATGACAATGTTTGTATTTTAATCAGCAGCTTGTTTTCTTATAAACGGTGTTTTTTTCTTGTGCAATTTTCTCAAACCATTTTTCAGAAATGGCGCATTTGTTTCTAACATTTTTTCCCAGCATGTTTTTTTTTAACTGACGACAAAAACCATATTTTTCTCCCTTTTTTGCTTTTTTTTTTCTCGTGTGTTTTTTGCCTGTTTTTTCTGACAATTATTTTCTCATGCATTTTTTGCTTGTTTTTTTTCAAATGTTCTTTTTTTTCTTTTTTCCAATACAAGAGAATATATGACGAAATAAAAGCCGTGTAGTAGATGGCAAAAAATCGATGGATTCTATCCGACTCAAGCGTCCATTAATTTAGTGTTTTTTCTTACAGCTTTTTCAGAGCGATTTATTTTTTTAATAGACGGTGTTTTTCCTTGCGCGGTTTTTTAAATCATTTTTTAGAAATGGTGCATTTTTTCTTACAGTTTTTTCCTGGCATGTTTTTTTTAAAAAAAAATTTACCTACAATGGAAATAATTTTTCTCCCACGTTTTTTTTTGGAAGATGGAAAACCTTTTTAGCATGTTTTTTTTCGCTTTTTTCTCACGCATTTTTTTGAACCGTTTTTTCTCGTGTATTTTCTCTTTTTAAATAGTTAGATTAGATTAGAGATAGAGAAGACATATATACTGATTAGAAATTGTAATTTGTTTCGCCCTTTTCATTTTCTTTTCTCGCACGCATTTTTTATTTTGTACAAACCAACTTTTTATTTTTTACGAACTATTTTTTTCGCCACTTTCTTAGGGAATCGAACAAAGTTTTTAGATGTTTTTTCAGATTTTTTTCCGCCTTTATAGGAAACAGAGTTTTTTTTTCTGTTTTTAAAGGAATCAGATCTAGCTTTTTTTTCACCACTTTTTTTGCCTTTTAGAGGAATCGGATCTACGGTTTTTTTTCGCCACCTAGGGGAAACAAACTTTTATTGTTGTTGTTTTTCTTTTTTTTTCTTGCGGTTTTTGTTTTTCTTTTTATGCACCTTTCTGCTTTTATTCTCTCCCTTTTATTATTTTTTCTTAACAAAAACAACCTCAAGTATCTTATTGCAAGATTATAGGGACTCAAATGTAAATGTATAAACCCCAAAAAATAAAATCATATAAAAATGGAATGCTCTCGACCGGTAGGTTCCGTTTTTGCAAACAGATCTTCAATCCGGCATATTAATTTTTTTCACGAAGATGAATGGGGTATCATGTTATAGATTGAAACCAAGAGGAGTGGTGCCTGGGGGACTCAAACCGTGGTTTGTTTTATTTTCCGTTTTAAGGGGGAATCGGATCTAGAGTCAGACTATTTTTTCTGAGAGGGAGTCGGACTTTTCTTTTTATTTTTTCGCTATTTATTTTGTTTTGACGGACGAAGGAAACATCTCTTATTTTTTAAGTAGTAAAGATACTATGCAACGGGCAAAAAAATAATAATCCAAGTATAAATTGAAAACTACTCCGGTTAAAATGATTAAATGATTATTAAGCATAAACTTGTTATAACAAAAAAAATATCCATTTTCAAGGCATGGCACAAGTGGTCATATCTTTGTCTCTATGACGGGCAGAGCCTTTGATGGTTGATTGGCAGCAGTGATCATCTCACCATGGCCTTGTTCTGATTCCTGAGCCTCTTGCCTTCATGGCATTGGTAGTGCTAAAATTTCTTCTGCAAATAATACAGTCATTAGGAAGAATCGTTATGAAAATGCAAAAGAAACAGGAGAACTGATTTTCTGAAGCAAGAAAATACCGAAGGATTGTTATGCATCAAAACGGCAAGGAACTTAATAGTATCTGAGATTGTTAGGCTTTATATAACTTAATAGTATCCGGTCTACGGTTTGTGAATTTAGATTAAATGAAATATTGTGTATGCGGGCTGG